GGGGGGGGGGGGGGGGGGGGGGCATGTCAGTCAAAGGCAGGAGGGGTGGCGGTGAAGAGGCGCCTGCGACTCCTTGAGTCGCTCCGCCCTCCATCTTCCTCGGCCTCTTTCGCGCGCGCGCGCGCGCGCGCGCGCTTGCTCTCCCTTCGGTGTGGCCGCATGTACGGATGCATGCCCGCATGGATGCGCATGCGCCCGTGGACGTACGGTCGTCGTCATGGTCGTGGCCGGCGGCTGTCCGGGCGAAGAGCTGCGCCTCGGCCACCGAGGTGGCTTCCCAACTGCAGGACAGCCCACCCGGGGCAGAGGCCCCCGTGCGAAGATCGCCCAGCGACCCGGGGTTCGAGGGGCAGCGAGCGAGGCCGCGGGCCGGCGGCTGGGCCGAAGCGGCGGCGGCGGCGGCGGCAGCGGCAGCGGTGGCGGCGGCGGCGGCGGCGACGCCCGCGGCCGTGCTGCCGGCCACCGATGGCTGAGACCAGGAAGACGAGGCGGAAGACGGGGCATAGGCCCCATACTCCGACAGGGAGGACATCGACGAGAGGGAGGAGGCCGAGGAGGAGGCTGGCGAGGAGGTCGGGCTGCCGAAGGAGGTGACCGACTCCATGGACCCGCCGAGGAACTCCGGCTGGAGGGAGTGGCTGGCCGGGCCGGCCGGGGTGGCAGGGAGCGCGTGCGCCGAGGGGGACCCGCGCCGGGGGCGGTCGGGGGCCGCGGCCAGGCTGGCCAGCGTGCGCGGCGGCGACCCCCCGGCCGGGTGGTCCACCGGCGACAGGAGCACCGCCCCCGGCGACACGGAGCAACTGGGCTCCGCCACCAGGGTGGCCGAGTGGCGGGACGCGCCGGTGCCCGACGACGGGACCGGGCGCCGGCCGGCCGAGGCCCGCGGGGAGATGGACAAATCCGACAGCGAGTCCAGCAGGCTCCCCGGCGGGGAGGGGCAGGATCGGGGATCGCCCGGGCGCCAGCCGGCCCCGGGGACGGCCACCGGCACGGAGGCCGCGCGCTCGGGGCTGTCGGCGGCCCCGGCACCCGGCGTCGAGTCCCGGCAGGTGGCCGGGCCCGGGGGCGTGTGGGGGCCCGGCCCGGCGGCCATCGGGTCCGGGCGGGGGCCCATCTCGCTGGCGGCCGTGGCCCGGCGCAGCCCGGCCGAGAGGGCACTGTGCCGGGTGGCCGACCCCGGGGCCGGAACCGAGCCGGGGCCCGGTGCCGGCCGGCAAGCTGCCTCCGGCGGGGAGACCGGCCCCGGCGGGGAGACCGGCCCCGGCGGGGCGTCGGTCGAGTTGAGGGTGCGCCGGCCGCCGAGGCACTGGCGGCACGCTTGGCCGGCGGCGCGCAGGCGGCACGGCTGTCGGACGAAGTACTTCAGCGTGTAGGTCTGGCTCTGGTACATGACCTCCTCGGAGACCGAGCCATCGGCGTCCAGGTCCAGGAGGGGCTGGTCGGCCGTGGGCCCGGGTCGGGTGGCCAGCTCGGTTTGCCAGTGTGACAGGAGGCTGGAAATGGAGGCGACAAACAGCTCAAACGGCGAGGGGGTGGTGTGGTCGACAATTTCAAACACCTCGCTCTCGGTGAAGTCTGTTCGTTGGGCGCGCTGGCGGGGGTGAGAATCTGTGTGTGTGTGTGTGTGTGTGTG